AGATTTCAGGAATTTCCCCTGGGAGTTGTTCAAGAATTAAGGCCAAAGCAAAAGGGCGCTCTCTTTCTTTCTTCCCCTGTCCTACTTTCCTTTGTCCTGAACATCTAATTTTCTACCTGAAAACATCTGTAACAAAACATTCTTTAGAAAATAAATGTATCTACCTTGAACTCATCAAGCCCTTTATCCGGATCATGCACAAAGAAAAAAAAAGATCTGCCCATGACTAAGAGTGCACCTGAAGGCTGACTCTTTGACCCCCCTCGCTGCTGATCATGATCTTTGACCTTCCTGCTGATCATGAGACCATGTCCTCTCCTCATCATCTCCCTCAGGAGCCGCAGGAAACGGGCTCTTGTGACCCAGTGGTCTGTGCAGCCATGGAGAGGCCCATTACTGCAGTCACATGGCAGGTTAGCACAGGGACTGATGCGACCATGTGAGCTCTATTTTCTAACAAGTTACAGCTTCCCCGAGGCCCATGATAGTTTCACACAGGACATAGAAAATGTCTGAAAATGCATGGCGGGTTTAGATTCCAAGAAAAAACATGTTTTTTCATTTTTTTGTGTCATTTGCAAATGTGAAGTCACGAGTCACCTTGAAGTAATGAACAGGTGACAGTTCTTCCTTTAGATCTGAATGATGGGTGGAATATATATGCACTGTTTAACTTCCTATAAAACAAGTTGACTGCATATCATTTAAAAAAAAAAGAATGAGCTTGAAATTAACCTTTTAATCGAGACTTATATCGATCACAAAGATGGGACATCTAACCTGTTAAATCTGATATCTCCGCTGATTCTTAAAGTCTTCATTGATAAAAGAAAAGTTATTTAGTTTAAAACTTCTAAAGGACATTTAAAAAAATGAACATGAGCAAAAAAACAAAAATGTGGAGTTTTATTGTTAAAATCTCATATTAAAGCATCTGATTTTAAACTCTCAGAGTTGAGGAAGAAATGTAAAGGTTATAAGTGATAAGAAGAAAATAAATGAGTTGATTATCACTTTACATTAAGTCATGTTGGGAGTTGATATCATAACCACAGGCTCTGATTATACTGAAGGAGTTGGACATCTCTTTTCTTATTTTCAGACGTTTTACATCAAACTGACCAGTGTTAAGTTTGAAGATCATTATTTCCCTCAAATAGTCAAATTGTTTTCAGAGAACATCTACAATACAAATAGATAGGAAATGGTGGAGTATTAGATACAAACAAGAAGGCCATTTGAAATTTAAATATCTAAAATATCTGAAAACACATCTTAATTTAGAGAAAAATTAGGGCTATTTTAGTCTGTGGTCCATCTGAGGAACAAAAGACCTGCAGGCAAACAGGGAGGAAGAGATAATACAATCAAGAAACCACATATAGTATTTATCTAAATTAACATCTTCAGAGATGAATCAAACCTTTTTGGTTTAGTGCACAAAAATACAACGTGGGCGCTTTAAAAACAACTTTCTGAGGCCCACAGACACACGAAAAGTCACAATTAATAAAAAAAAACATAAATGCGGAATATTAAAATCCGCCGATTTTATTTTGTATTTCATTCGTTGAAATAAACATATTTTATTGTGTGAAAAAGCAGTGAATTTTTAACATTTTCTGCATTAAACATCGGGCCTATTTTAAAGGCCACGACGCTTTTCTTTCTTCAGTTTGTTCGATTATTAAAAGGTTTTAACGATTTTAAACTACATTATAAGCACAATAATAATAGTAATAAAATATAAACGCATATAAAATACAATGGAAAGCTTAAACAGTTAACGATTTGATTGTTGCGTTTCATAACATGAAACTCAGTTTGAGGAAACAAAATATTTATTTTTAAAGTTCTCAGATAATTTTGTCATAGTTCAAAACATTTGATCATTTAGCTTTTTGAGCGCAAATAATTATGAAAAAATAATTTTGCCTGAATAGAAATTGTATTGGCCAACAATATGTCTACATATAGAAAGCTGTTTTCATCCTTACAGAGCATCCATCACCATTAACTTTATAAATCTCTTTCTTTCATTTCCAATGTCATCGACTAATTAAAAACTAATTAAAATTAAACAGAACCACTATAAGCTTAATTGTAAAATAAAACGTGAAAGAAAGCGAAATAGAAATGTGTCAGTAGGTAATTATAAAGTAAACACCACAGGAAGTGAAACACAGTTTAGTTCTCCACAATTCGGCTCTGAATCAACTCAACAGAAAGGCTACAGGACATCATAATGTCACAGAATTGTTAAATTCAATATTACTACAACCATATAAATGCACCTAATGCCTTCTGCGGAAATTATTAATAAGTCGCAGAAGACTGTAGTTTATACAAAGGCAGTTTTTAACTCAGCATGCCACAAATTAAATCCAATATTGACTAAATATTAAGAGGGAAATCTAAATGATTACATTGTGCAGCGAAGGAGATACTGACGATATATTAAAAAACCACCTTGCTGTGTCTGGCAGACTCCCTGGGGGGCCATGCACATCCAGCTGCACTAACTAAACACTCTCCGTAAAACCGCAGCTTCCTCCAGCCCTCCGGTCTGTACAAACCCAACAAGCTGCAGAAACGACACGCACTTTTTAAAAACACTTTCCTGCAAAACAACAAGCATAACCCCCCACCACCACCACCACCAACTCATGTCGGCTAATACAGTCAGAAAAAAAAAAACCACTCACTTCACAAGCCTCGGAGGCCTCATGCAGGATCCCACTGTAGCTGGTTGGTCGGTGGGGTGCAGCATGAAGGTGTCCCCCACCCCCACCACCACCACTATCACCACCACCAACCCTTCATCCCCAAACACAGCCTCCCCCTCCCTTCCCCTCCCCTCCCCTACCATCAGCACCTCCGAGGCCCAAATCCAGGTGCCGTGGAGAGTGTTTAGAGACAGAAAAGTGTCGCAGTGGGTGAAACAGAGAGAGATCCATGTGTCCCGTCTGCTGCAAAGTATTTTCTATGTGTGCGCGACTAGTGTCTATGCTCGGACATAAGGGGAGAAAGACGCACACATCGCTCTCTGTTATCAATTTTTTCCATGTTTGCAGCACAAAACTGCTTTTTGTTCCCCATTTTTTCATTTACGAGGGTTAATGGATAGAGGCTTGGGCGTTTGATCACATGGCTACAATTCACCTGAGATGGAGACAAAGAGAGCAAAGAGAGAGGAGAGAGAGAGAGGGAGAAAACCGAGAGCCGGGCTCAACATGAGAAGCAACGGACACACAGGGGTTATTGTTGCATTCATTTTGTGTGTGTGTGTGTGTGTGTCCGGGTGCGCATCAGATGCTGCCGAAGTCGATTCTCTTCCTTCCCATCAGGCCATGCTTTAACGGCACAAATCATGGCCAACAAGCATGTAGTGGAAATGAAATAGGTTATTTCACTGCTGCGGCCTTGTTTTACGCACAGAAAACCAACACGGGGAAAGACAGAAGTCTCAGACTGACTGATTATAGACTATTGATTGACTTTTCATTAGTGAGGCTGAACGAGCCAACTTACTGTTTTCATATCTTTTTATGTTTTCAGCCTTCATGCGGCCAATTTCTATCCAGGAAACAGCTTGATTGGATTATTAGATTTGACTATTGATAAATTAATTCTGGTATTAGCCACATGAATTAAATAATTCCACATCGATCTGAGTTTTAGATATGAACCTTAAATTTAATGTTGATATGGTCTTTAAAGTCAAACTCGAGGTTTCTAAACACTGACTTATCGGGAGGATGAGTTCAGTAAAAGTAGGACATTCAAGCATCGCATTGTTTTACCATTTCACTTCTAATGGAAACATTTTTTTTTTTATCTTAAAATCTTGCAACTTGTCACTCAACGGTCATTTGTATCTGTGTGACATCACCATCGTGGGCGTGGTCGAAAGAGAGGCTGGTTGGCAAGTGTTCAGGGAAAATGAATTAGACCCTAAAAGACACAGGCCAAAGCGTTGTTTTTAAGTAAACAGATGTTGGGCAGCTATTACAAACATTGTATTTAGTAAAAGTGGTCTTGTGTTTGATGACATTTGAAAATAAAAATGCACGATGTGTCGCTTTAAAGTACATTGTTGTGTAGATCCGTCTTCAATAGACCAGCTGTGCCACTAAACCTGAAAACCCTGAATGAAGGAAAAAGGGGGTCTTTTCAGAATCAAATCTCCTCAGAACTTTACACAAACATGTGAGTAAGGGCTGAATCATTTTGTAGTGATGCAGTGCGTTTGCGCACTTTGGCTGAACCAATTTTTACTAAATAAAACCTTCTTTAAAAATTAATTGATTGATGATTTCATTAAACAGGTTGGCAGAGTGAACTGACTAACTGTTTACTTATATTTTGTTTGTTTTTAAAATATTTTATTATGGAGATATTATTGATCATTAACCCAATTATAGCCTTTCCCAATAACTGATTAATGATTTTTTTCTTTTCTTGTAAAAATAAGACCCAGTATTCATTAACTTAACTTGTGTCTTTCTGCTTGAGTTTTACAAGATTTTTATTATTATTATTAATATTATTATGAAGATCGTAACTACAAATTGTGAGCTTTATTTCCTGTATCAAACTGAATCCGGTTATTTAAGAGCTGAACTTTACAATTCAGGCGGGACGTTTTTAGTTTTTTTTTAGAAACGTGACCACAGGAGGCAATAACTCTCCCCATGATTGTTTATTTGTTTGATATAACATGTCAACATGTCCCAACAAAGCTGGCCTTCTCCTGCCTCTAAATGGGCGCACTGTAGAGTCATTTAAGCCACTCTCATAAGATTTCACCTCTTCTCCGTTGGAAATGTTGCAGTGACGGACAGACGGGCATTAACAGTGTGTTGCTCCCGTCCAACCAGAGAGCAGCGGGGAAATTAAAGGGCCAATCGGAGTGCGGCGCGGCGCGGAGGGGGCGGGGCTGACTGTGTGCTGGAATGCTGCCTCTCTGGGAATGTTTTCCACTTTCAATCACATTTTTTTTCTCCCAGTCCTTCTCACAAGGCGCTCTTTAAGCTCCGGTGTTGCCACACAGAGCAGCCATTCATCGGCTCTACAGTCAGCCACACACACTCCCATGTTGAACCACTGGACATCTAAACTGGTAAGTTATGTAATTTCTTTAAAACTAAATTGATATGATAAAAGGGAATATTTCATATCGGTATTTATGTGCCACTTGTGTTCTCATTGGTTTTTTTTATTAAACGAGGTTTAGCGTTAATTAAGCTTTGATGAAAATATTCTGTCTGCGGATTATATTTTTTTGTGGATGCGGTTCTTTCGTCCAGATATCATTATTATGAGGCCATTATTATTATTGGCTAGAGACGGTGTTTTGCTCGCTTTATGGTCACGTCCAGTCCGCTAAATCTCTTAACCTGTTTAGCTTGAAGTAAACAGAGGCATGTTTGATTCACAGGAAAACAAAAAATATAAAATGGTTTTAATTTGTGGACTTTATTAGTACTGAAATGTTTATGTTATACTCTCTGTGATTTTTATTTTTTTTTTTTAGGTTTAACTGCTATTGCAGAAACTGATTTCCAGCCAGCGGTGGAAAGGATTTGGACACTTTTACGCAGCAGTATGGCTTTGCCTGAGAAGAGTCAGCAATAACTGGGATCGTCGCAGAGTCTTATTCAATTAAAACGATTTAATTACATTGAATAGTTTGGACTCCAATTGAAAACTTTTTTGCATTCGAGGGCTGTCTTGTCATTAGTGGAACGCAAAACAAAATGTCCGGCGAGGAGCACAGCCTGTCTGAGGCGGAACTGAGTCCCGGAGGGTCAGACGATGGTCACTCACTGTCACCGACTCAACCTGGAGCGCCACCCGGCCAGGACTCACCTCTGACCGGGCCGCCGCAGCAGCTCGCCGCGCTCTGTGTCGCGGACGGCAGCGGGGACGATGGAGGCAGATCCGGAGCCAAATCAGAAGAAGAGGAAGATCGCTTCCCGATCGGCATCAGGGAGGCGGTCAGCCAGGTGCTGGACGGATATGACTGGACACTTGTGCCAATGCCGGTGCGCGTAAACAACGGAAACAAAGCTAAACCCCACGTAAAGAGGCCCATGAACGCCTTCATGGTGTGGGCACAGGCGGCGAGGAGGAAGCTGGCCGATCAGTACCCCCACCTGCACAACGCGGAGCTCAGCAAGACCCTGGGCAAACTGTGGAGGTTTGTATGGGGTGGTTGTCTCAGAAAAGGGAACAGCGTGGCCATACAGTGGCACATTTCCTGTGTGCGTAAAGGATACGTGGGGATGTAGATGCTGAACTCAAATGTAAAAGTGGGCAAATTATAAGCTCAAATTGTTGATTGTAAACATAGAAAACACACAGAAGCAGAAATCAATGTGGTGTTTCTTTAATCTCATGTATAATGTATAATGTGTACTATATATAATTTTTACTCAAACTTTATTTAAATCAGCCTAAATGGCGAGTTTCACCCTCTTAATTTCCTGTAGGCATATTTACCAATTACGCACGGGGTTGAATTCGACATTATTGATAATTTTCACATGCTAAGGACATACTTTCACATTAACTCAGGCGGCGTGTCAGACTAAAATCGCTCCTTGTTTTTCTCCCCCCAGGCTGCTGAACGAGAACGACAAGAGGCCATTCATCGAGGAGGCGGAGAGGCTGAGGAAGCAGCACAAGAAGGACTACCCAGAGTACAAGTACCAGCCCCGGAGACGCAAAAACGGTAAACTAGCGCCTGCTAGTGAGTCCGATAGCCAGGGGGAAGGGGAGGCCAGCCACTCCCAATCACATTACAAGACTCTGCATCTGGAGCACAATGGCGGGGCTGGGTCTCCCCTGGGTGACCTGCACCACCACCACCATCACCACCACCATCCTGCTGGTAGGTGGCGCACAGGTTCTGAATCTGGACACAATGATCATAATATCAGATATTTGATCAAGAAAAAGGGGGAACATAAAAAACAATTAGACCCACGAGACCTAAAGAACACCAAAAGCAGACAAAACGAAACTTTGAATGTCACAGTTCACCTGACCATGCTGTCCTTTCCTTCTCTTTCCTCTAGGTCAGGGTCACAGCCCACCCACGCCCCCCACCACCCCAAAGACAGAGCTCCAGTCTGGGAAACTATCAGATGCCAAGAGGGAGGGGGCAGCAGGAGCGGCTGGAGGATCAGGGGGGTCCAGGGGAGCCCTTGGGGTGGGAGCTGAAGGAGCATCCGGTGGTCCATCATCATCGAGTGCTAAACCCCACATCGACTTTGGCACCATGGACATTGGCGAGATCAGCCACGAGGTGATGTCCAACATTGAGCCGTTTGATGTAAACGAGTTTGACCAGTACCTTCCTCCAAACGGCCACCCGCAGAGTGCAACCGGGGCCCCCACAGCTGGATCCTCTGCCTCGTCTTACGCCTACGCCCTGGCAGCTGCTAGTGGGCACTCCGCCTGGCTCTCCAAACAGCAGCAGCAGCCTCAAGCTTCTCCGTCTTCCTCCGACCCCTCCAAGGCCCAGATCAAGAGCGAGTCTGCGTCCGGGAGCCACTACGCCGAGGCCTCGTCCTCTCCCTCCTCAGGCACCCACGTCACTTACACCCCGCTCAGCCTCCCTCATTATGGCTCCGCTTTCCCCTCGCTCGCTTCCAGGGCTCAGTTTGAGTACGGAGAGCACCAGGCCCCTGGGGCGTACTATGCCCACTCCAGCCAGGCCCCGGGGCTGTACTCAGCCTTCTCCTACATGGGCCCTACACAGAGGCCTCTGTACACTACCATAGGAGACCCCTCCAGCGTGGCCCCCTCTCACAGCCCCACACACTGGGAGCAGCCTGTTTACACCACACTCACAAGACCTTGAGGGAGACCAGCTGAGCAGAGGGAAATATGGGAAGTGTGTGAGTGGATCTGTGTGTCTGACGGTGTGCAAATATGTGAGCGTGTATGTATATGTGTGTGTATGTGTGTGTGTGTGTGTGTGTGTGTGTGTGTGTGTGTGTGTGTGTGTGCCCGTGCCATATTGATGTTATATTAGAGGTTTTTACTTTTTTAGCCAATATAATGCAAGACGCATCCACGGGGGGCCTTACACAGTTTAAAAAAACAAAAAACAGCCACAAACTCACACAAAGTGTAAAGTGTGAAGTCAACAGCCAATCAAAAATTAAATAAACTTTAACAAACGTGTGCCATCATAAATTTATAGGTTGGGATGTACAGCAAGTGTGTATACGGTAAATGAATGAGACACTGAGAGTGAACAATGTTGCATTGGATGAGTGATTTGACCCAGAGACGACGGGGTTAGACTGACGTAATCAGATTTTATTAACCAAACTAAAGCAGATGTTTTTGATGTTATTGTGTTATTTTATATGAGTAGTAAGTTTATTGTTGTTGTTGATATCCTAGGGTGTAACTTTATTGTGACTGATTTGATATTACACTAATACATCTGCACCACTGCTTTGGGAAAAGCACGTTTTGTGTCAACAAGATGTTCCCTGGAGTTGTTTTTTTCGTGGCCAGAAAAGGATAGTTGCAACCTTTTTTTTGTTTTCTTTGTAGATAGCACACTCTGTATTTCTGTCCCTTCATTACATTGACTTCACTGAACTGAAGAATTAAGCATTTAAGGGGAAAAATAGGAAAACGAGAGGGAAAGAGAGCTCTTAAAGATGTATTTCAGCTTATCGCTCAGTCTCGGAAAACTTACCTCAACTCTATTCATTTTGTGCCAATAGCAAAGGAGAAATACGACTCTGGATACCTGATAAAATAATGCTGAAGGTATTCAAAACTTCACAGCAGTAAACCTCCACTTTGGTCTTCTTCTTCCTCTTCTTCTTCTTTTTCTTCTTCTTCTTCTTCTTTTTATTTTGCTTTTTAAGTGCCTAACATTTTGCTGATTCACATCTGATTTATCCAATAACTGAGTTAAAATCTATAAGTACAAAGTCTCAGCCAAATCTCTTCAGATAATTGGCCAGCTTTGGGTCCTACTTAAGGATTAGAATCACATGTACGACTGTTCTGCACTGCATTTAGGCCAAAAGCATGTTTTTTTCGTCTTTACAGGTTTTTCCTATATTGTGCCCAAATAGCCCTCTTCCTCTTCAGCAATGTGAATAATGGTCATTACCACAGGCTTCACCTTTATTATGTGATGCATACTTTATCATTTTATACTGACCCTCTTACCATGTAGTTATTATTTTTTATGTAAGTAATAATGCATTGTGTGTCACACCTTTGCTTCTTCCATTTTGTATAATTCTGGATAGTTTTGTAAAGTGTTTGCTATACATTCACTTGAGTATTTTGCTTCCATACAAGAAAAGCAATGTTGAAATATTATTGTTGTCATCTATTAAATCAATTTATTTATAAAAAAAAAAAAAAAAATCCTGTGTAAGAGCGTTATTTCATGCAGCAGCGATGGTTCAGTGATAACATGTGGAGCGGTAGTAAGTGAAGGGTGACAAAAAATAAATTAAAAACACGCTGCTGACGTGTGAACTGTAATAACAACACAATCAGTGCCCCACCAACCTAAGCTGTTTAGTGTGTTTGTGTGTGTGGTAGGCTAAAATTGACTACTAATTCCCCACATTTAATCGGCTGGGGACTGCGTGTTACTGAGAAAGACAAAGAGAGCCATTCAGCGAGGGAGAGGGACAGAAAGAGAGAGAAGGGGTGGGTGTAAAGAGCCAGAGACAAGGCCAATTTCAGCTCAGAAACCAGCATACACTTGGACTTTTGTATATGGCTTTTCCTTTCCTTTCCCTTTTGCCCTCTTCTCTCCACCTGAGGCTCCCTCCCTGCCTCCACAGTCAGCTGCTGTTAAAACCCATTCAGAGGGCATCCAACATCGAAATGTCAAGTTCATTGCAGTGGCATTATGTTTGAGGGGGATGCAAAGCAAAGAGGGTGATACACGTGGGGATTTTTTTTGCAAAATAAATAAATATCCAAAATTAATAGGTGAGATTAATTAATCTGTTAATCTTTGAGAAAATACCATCAATTACACAAACTCCACTTTATTTACGGTGGCACTTGGATTCCTTCAACTAATCAGGTGATATACAAACACTGTTAGAATCATATTGAGAGTAAGAAAAGAAAAGAGATAGTGAGGTAGGAAAAGAAATTAACTAGTCTGATGAAAATATAAAACAAGGACAATAACTGCTGTGATTCCAGCTTGATGCCAACCTCTTTGGCTTATTGCAAATACTAGAAATAAACCTTTAATTGCAGTAAACAGTAAGGGAGAAAATATTAGAAAATGGAAAATAAGATATAGACACATCTGGATTCATAATAGATGTGAAGGTTTTGGTGAAAGAAGTTAGAAATAAGCAGTTTTTATCTGTTTACAGGGACGGTCAGTGTTACCAGCTGTGCAAAGCTCACATCAAGGCCTCAGATCCTTAAGGGCCCTGTAGCAGGGGGACATCATTGTGTGTTACTTTGTGCAAATGTGTTTGGGAACATGAAGAAATATCAACACAAATGTAAAGGTCTGAAGATGTCAGTGGTAACTTATTTTTGCTCTGAGGACTGATCTGTTTTATGTAACTTTTGTAATATATATATATATGAATATATGTCCAACTTTTCATCTTGCAGGTACAGACATTTCATATGTGGCAAGGAATGACATTCTGATTGATATGATCTGTCCCTGATAAATGAATACAAAACAAACAGTAAAGACAAGGTTAAGACGAGTAAATCACAAGTAAGGATTGTTGTTTGTTTGAAAAAAATCCAGCTGTTGGGATTACCAGTGATGGAAAGTAACAGGTACATTTACTCAATCATCAATATTTAGGTACAATTTTATTGGAGTATTTCTGCTTCATCTGACTTCACTTAGGCTACTCTCCACTTTATAAGGGAAATATAATACATTTTAGCAACTCCATTAGAATATATTTATTTGACAGTTGTAATTGGGAGTTACTTTTCAGATTAGGATTTTATACACAAAGCATAAAATCATCTGTTAAAATATGATATACTGGAACAGATTTATCTAATCATCAGTATTTAAACAGTTCAAATTACTCCCTCTTGACCAGATGCAACATTAACATGCTGTTTACTTGCTGATACATTTCCAACATCAATTCAATAATATGAAATAGAGAATAATACTCTGAATTATACTTAATTAATTATACTCGCATATATTCTGTCAAATCACTTTGACTTTAGATACTTAATTTGCTTGTACAGGCTACTTTTACTATTTCCTGAGTATTGTGGTATTGCTACTTCTACTTGGAAAGGGTCTGAGTACTGACATGTTACAGGCTATGCACGCATCAGACTTAAAGTAATACATGTAAAAAAAAAGACTTACCTGTTAATTAGTCTTTTTTTTTATACACATCTCTCTTTCTTTCTGAATTTCCAGACCAACTAGTGGTTGTTATACATCTAAAAACATTGAAGACGAAATAGTAGGGTGTGTATTCATTACCCGTCTGAGAATAGGACATATAGGATTAAATCATACACTCACACATATTATCGGCAAGCATTAATAGACTGCAGCAAATATGATAAAGTAAGCAGGGAGTTGTTATCAGCATTAAAGGAGGGACACAATAATATACACTGGAGAATCTACTCGGAAAGAAATCACAGAGAGTACAAAACATTTGAATTCATTATTTAAGAATAACAGAGAGAATTTAGTGGTTTAGTTTTCTTTGTTTTTGTTGTTTTTCCCGACAACGCACGCAGTCCAGTAGGTGGCGGTAATGCGCCCATGAGCTGGTTTCTCTGCCGCCATTAACACCCGAAGAAGAAGTAGCGCGTGACGTCACTCCAGGGGCGCCAAACCTGCAGCAGAAACACAACAAACACAACACGGAGGTAAGAATGAGCTTTACTCAGACTCATCGCGATATGTGGGACTTTAATCATTTCTGGCAACAGCCTCAACTTGTAATGTAGTCAGAAAACATCTTTATATTCTGGTAAAATCACATTTGAGTTCGTCTGTAAGGGGATTGTAATGCAGGCAGGAGCTAGCTAACAGCTCTGTGGGTCCTACCGAGGCAGGCTGTCAGGAGTGCTAACTTTGTTTTTAGGGCCAAAACACAGAGTTGTACAACGAGTAAGACTTGAACGCCATTACACACATTTAAAACATTTAATATTTGTGTCTGTGGTCCTCTGCAGCCAGCTGTCATGGACCTCGGCCCCTTTGAAAGAGACAACTCTGTGAGCTGCAGGCTGGCCTCTCAGATCCCTGATGTGTGCCGGACTGAGGACTGCTGTCTGGGCATTGACGAGGCAGGCAGGGGCCCTGTGCTGGGTAACCTCTAATCTTATGTTGCAGTCATCCATAATTCATTATGGAGATATTGGTTTGATTCACTGCGTTTAAGTGTTTGTTTTAGCACTCGCTGCATTGTTTACAGACTTACTGTATTCATGTTTTGTGATTCAGGACCGATGGTGTATGGAATATGTTTCTGTCCAGTTTCCAAAAAACAGGAGCTGAAGGACTCGAAAGTGGCAGGTAATGTGGTTGGTCTACCTCTGTGCAGGTAGATGTTTCAGCATGACTCATTTTCACTGCTATCTTACTGAAGAAAATGTTTAGCTAGTTCACCTCTCCTTTATTCAAGTAGTTAACAGTACTGTAAGCAAATAAATAAACGTATTAATCGGTTCCACAGCGCCAAATAAAATTCTTCATTGCACCCTCAGTAATATTACATTCTTGCATTTTAAAACAAATTCATGCACTTTGTCACTCCCATATCAGATTCAAAGACTCTAACAGAGGCAGAGAGAGAGAATCTTTTTGAAAAACTGGATGAAGCCAAAAGTTATGTCGGCTGGGCTCTGCAGATTCTCTCACCAAACACCATCTCCACCAGCATGTTACAGAGGTATTTCACTCATACAGTGTCATGCTCCCACAGACCTCCTTTTTTTTTTTTTTAATAAACAGTGTTTTTTATTCCCACCCTAATAAAATGTCTTGCTTTTGTTAGGACAAAATACAACCTGAATGCCCTTTCACATGATACAGCAATCGGTCTAGTACAGTATGCCTTAGACAATGGAGTACAGCTCAAAGAGGTATGTAAACAGGAATGAATATAAAAGTGTCAGGGTCATACTTTCTGCTGTGCCTGAACACACTACACATGCCTCAATTTAGTTCCTGTACGTAATTTAGCCGTACACTTTCTAGTGCCTTTCAATGAAACATTTGAATTTCACAATACGTACTTGTTTCATTCAGTCAGTTCAAGGTCTTCTTTAGGCAGACCCACACAAACTAGCAAACCTCCCTGGTTTTATGCAGGTATTTGTGGACACAGTTGGCCCAGCAGACAAGTATGAGGACAAACTCTCCAAGCTGTTCCCTGGTATCGAGGTGACTGTGAGGCCAAAGGCTGACTCCCTCTTCCCCATCGTCAGTGCAGCCAGTATCTGTGCGAAGGTTAGTGACCGCCGACTGGATCTCAGTATCTTTCTTATGCCATTCACATTCCTGATTATTAGTTTGTTAGCCTCATATTACTGAACCTACAGAAGGCTGTAACGTTACCTTGAGTCTTTATTGAAAGAAGTCAGTTCTGTTGTGGGAAAATAGTGAAGCGAGTGTTTGTTTTGTTTCACATGTCTTTGGCTTTGTGTAAAGGAAGTGCATTTGAACATACAATACATATTTATTGCAAGATGGATTCATTTTCATGTATTTAAAAAAACAACTGGAGTGCGATTCTCAATCCAGTTGTCCAAACTTGTGCGACCATTTAGTGTAAAATGTAGTTTTTATAAGTTGAATTCAGCTACGTTAATTTTTATGTTGGTTAGCAATTATTGAGCTGATATGTCCAAATCATTGTTAAATATTGCCATTGCTTTAGTGTGAGTAAATTACACTCAGCCCTTGACTGAATGGGGGCTTCAGTGTCAGTTTATTTAATCCACTCAGTGAACACTGGGGCCAGATGTGTAAACAATGTGTAAGCCTTTGCCTCCACATAAAATGGTGTTTATTCTGCTGCTGCCCGCCTTATCTTACAAGTGTGAAATGCACTGCAGCCACGATGCTCAGGTGGACAGTGTGGCTGCTCTAACCTGTTAACACGGGTGCAGAAATAAAAAGCGGGAGGTTCTGCGACACATAAACACGCTCACACACTCACACACACTGAGGCAGTGTGTCCAGACCACTGAGAGAGATGAGTGGATAACCTCTTGTATTTCTTCTTTAATTCAAATTTCACAACTCTACCAGTGCGTCATGTGCAAACATGTAGTCATAGTTGTCAGGTTATTTCAGGGGCCCTAATTTAGGATTATAGAACTAACATTTTCTGCTGCTGACAAGCTCATCGTTGACATTGTTCTGTAAACTTTGTTTAACATTAGTCAGTAGTTTTTCTAAAGCTATGGGCTGATTTTTTCAGGTAGCCAGGGACCGTGTTGTAAAGGGCTGGAATTTTTCTGAGGACCTTGGAGGTGTGGATACAGATTACGGCTCAGGATACCCCAACGGTAAGACTGCTGTTATGATCCTCCCATAACGACATCTATGTTTTTAACAATACTTATTAAATGAATGAAATCAGCATTTTTAAGTGCACTTTTATTTGTGTCACTGGTAACTTTACCTAAACAAGACAGTTATCTATGGATGTAGATAAACTGATACTAAGACCGATTTCTTTTCCCGTGTTTTCAGATCCCAAGACTAAAGCGTGGCTCCTGAAGTACCTGGACCCAGTGTTCGGTTACCCGCAGTTTGTTCGATTTAGCTGGAGCACTGCCCAGACCCTGATGGACAGCAAGGGTGTGACTGTCCACTGGTAAAGAGCCTTCCAAAATCCAGCATTAAAACATGATTAGTTTCCTCTTGATTCTGCCCTGAGAAAATGATCTTCTCTGCTATTTATTAACAAGTATTTGGCACAAGAATTTTCTAAAAGCATTAAAATATTTTCCAGCCTTTTTCCAAGGTTATAGAAGCCAAAAAACTTGACAGAAATGATTTTTGAAAACTACTTTGTTGTGTGTCTGCCTCTCTGTTAATAAAAATACTTCCATGTGTAGATGTGTGAAAACCACAACCCCTTTGATTTCCAGGTCACGCTTAATGTCTGTGCAAATCATTTGACTTTAAGAAACAAGTGCTAACCACAGTGTAACAATCACACAAATCAGTCTTGTTATTTATTTATTTATTTTAAAATCTGTCCTCAGGGATGATGATGATGAGGATGGGGAGAAGGCGGCACAAAGGAAGAACAACAAGTCCATGTTGTCCTACTTTAGTGCATCAGCTGGAAGTAACGACCAAAACCCGACCCACCAGACACACCGCTTCTTCACCGATCGGAGGCTGAAGAGTCTCGACACACTCTGAAGACAACACAGTAGAGGACACACACACACACACCACACACACACACACACACACACACACACAGGAAACCACCAACTCTGTGATATTTTCATACACAGCTGTTGAGTGTTCAGCACAGATGTGGATGGACTTTGATCAAACATTGAAACACGTGTGACATTTGTATCACCAATGCAGACCTAAATTAATATCTGGCTTTATTTGTCCTATTTGTACCTGTTTTTTTATACATAAAAATAATGTTTAAAACTCCTGTTTTGCTCCTGAAGAGACTTTGTTTTAAAATTCTACACCATACCCGTGAAAGAATCAAAAAGGCATTGCTGGAAAGTGTT